ATCAGGTGCAGGGCATGAGTAAAAACAACGCAGCGAAGGCGCACGAGTAGCTGAAGCTGCTGGCTGTTGTGGCAGGCAGACGGCGGTGTCTCGAGCCCTTGCCTCTTGGCCTCCCTGGCGCTTTATGAATGGCCGCTCCAGCTCAGCGCCTGCCACACCCCACACCCCACACACCACATTGCACAACCCCAGTCGCAGTCGCAGTCCCTGCTCGGAGCGAAAGTTGGCAAAGAAAAGAAATTAAATGCACTTCCTTTTATGCGAGCTTCTCATATTTTGCGAGGCGCCAACCCCCGTTTCGGCCACACAATGCGCTAATAATGGAAGTGCACTTTTGACACAAAAGGTGGCTGTGGCGACAATGCCAACCGCCAACCGCCAACCGCCAACCGCCCCCATCAGCGCCACCAGCACCAGCGACCCAAAACCCACCTCTTGACTGGTTTATTGCTCATTCGCTGCAACGGCGATTAGTCCGAGTGCGGGCGAAGTGTGGCCGACTGCTCTGCTCTGACCTCGGAGGAGATTAGAAATTTTTGTGGCATTGCTTTCACTTCATTGTTCGCTGCTCTAGCTGTCGCCTGCCTCCTGTCTCCTGCCTCCTGCCTCCGCTAGGTGGCGCCACCAAGGCCAATGGCAATCAATGGACGGCATTCGCTACGCGCTGATCCATCGAGATTACTTTTGAGCTTCAACTGATTCTGTTACTGTTGTTGCTCCTGCTGCTTCTTCTTTCCCAGCTACTTGCACTAAATGCGTTTATGACGTCATAGCTACGAGTGCCGCTCATTGAGCAGCTCGCAAGCTGATTGAATTGCTCTCCACGATTGCCGCGCGCCGTGTCCCAAAGGTAAAAGAACAATGGAAGCTTAAAGCGCAAGCAGTGCGCAAAGTACAAAAGCTCATTTTGTTTGTGTGTGTGTGTGTGTGTATGGGTGTGGGTATGTATGTATGTGTGTCTGTCTTTTATCTGGCAAAGCAGCTTCAGTCTGAAAGATATTTAAAGAAGTCTTAGCCTGACGTTCTGCGCTCCATTAATGATTGCTCTAGCCAAACGATATATATATAGGAGATATGTATGATAAATCATGAGTATATTATGTATATATGTGATATATCTATTGGAAAAGTGGGGAAGCTAAGACTCGAGCAATCGAAATCTTTTTGTCTCATTATTTATAAAGCTGAAACTGAGCAGCAGATTATAGGGAATATAATAGTCATTCTCATATCGATCAATAGAAAATAAATCTGGGTATATATAAAGGGATTTTTCACTTATAGAAAAATGTCTGATTTATATTTGTTAAGAGATTCCAAATGAAACAAAAGAACTCTCTCTCTCTCTCTGTCTGCCTCAGCAGCTCTTTAACTGTTAACTATCCTTAGCGCACTACTTCTCTCTCTCTCTCTCTCTCTCTCTCTCTGTCTGTCTCACTCTCTCGCACTCTCTCGCACCCGCCACTGACTTGTCATAAAATCAAAGACGAACTGCATGGTGCAGACGTGGCGTATGAGTAATTTACTAGCAGAAGGCAACGGCAAAGGGCAACATAATAAGGTTGCTTAAGCCACGCCCCCGCCATGGCGGTCGTGTGGGCGTGGCGGGAGCAGCTTTTGGCAGCAGCGCGCTTGCCTCTGCTGAGCCGCGCCGTAAAAATAAATCAAATAAATAATAAATGAAACGAAACGAATCAAATGCGAAATAAAAATCAATGGCACTCAGCACTTCAATGAATTGGAATACACACACACACACACACACACACACTCCACACACACACACTCGCATACACACACATGCACACTCTCACATATGCAGTTTGCTTTACGGTTTGATTTCAAATAAAATTGTGCTTCATTGAATCGAATTGAAGCAGCAAAAATGAACGAGATGATGACAGAGACAGAGAGGGAGAGATGGAGAGAGGGAGAGAGAGAGTGGGAGTGGGAGTGAGAGACAGAGACAGAGATACAATAACAACAAATAGAGCTGAACTTGCTGCAGTTGCCTGGGCATTCGGTCAATTGCAATTAGACGTCGCTGAAGTAGTGCAGTACCGCACCGCCAGCCAAGTGGTGCTGCACCACTCAATAAAAATTCAACTTGGCAAGCATTGCAGCACACACACACACACACACACACACTTACAGAACATATCTGACCCAAATATGGTACATAATGTGTTTATGTGCGCTGAGCGGTTGTGCGGTGCTGCTGCTGCTGCTGGTGTGGTGCATGGTGCGTGGTGCGTGGTGCGGAGGTTGGCCAAGAAATTGCAACACTTGAAAACTTGAAAATGTTTTGCCAACTTTGCTCTGGCAAAAGTTTGTGAAGCGGCGCAGCGACAGCTAACTGCAGCCACTACCCATACCTTGGCTGTTGCCCCAGCCACGCCCCTTCCCCTTCGGCTGGCATCTGCTCAGCCGACGACGACGACGACGACTGCTCCCAGTCCAGCAATAATTAGTGCAAACAATTGCGCCATTTGAAAAGTCTCCTTGGCCGCCACACTGCGGCATTTTGTTTCAAGGTTTCTTTGCCAAGTTGAAAACAACCCCCGCCCGTGCATCTAACCCCACCTTCACTTAGCCACGCCCCCAACAGCAGAAAAAAATAAAATAAAAGCAGTAGAAAAGTTGGCAAAAACTTTGCGTCCAGGCAGTCAGCATATTTTTTTCAAGCAAATTGGCTGAGCTGCCAGCCGGATATCGGTTCGTTCGGTTCGGGTTCGATGGGATGCCGTCAGGGTTGCCATGGCCGCACAATTGCCAGGTAACAGCTCATTAAATGGAATTTCAGTTCTTATTATTGCCTCGCTTATTCATTCCCATCTATTTTGATGTGCCTGCTCGTGCTTAGGCTTGGGTTTCCATAGGTCACAGTTGTCGCTCTATGCACAATCGATGCCAATTTGTTGGCTTTGAGTGGGAAACTCTGCTGAGATGTTTATGAACAGCCCTTACCAATTGAGAACAGCTGTAGAAACTATTGAAACTGAGAGCAGCTGTTGAGCTAGCCACTCTCACTCTCTCTCTCTCACTGCTCAGCTTGGTAAATTTATCGGCATCTATCGATAATATGCACCACAACAATCGATTCTCAATAACTTTTGCCTTACAGCTGTGGAAAATATCACATGTTCAATGGGTAACCTAAATAATTATGTATATATTTTTTTGTTTCGATTTCTGGTTCTTTTACTTTATGCCTTTCTCTTATGCCATATATATTTCTTTATACATATATAAATATACAACTTATTATATAGATTTGCGTTGAACGAAATGCTCGCAATTGAACAACTTGTATACATATTATAAACATTTGCGATAGAGTTGCTCACGATTGTTAAGCAAACAACCCAAAAACGACAACAACAATAACAACAAAATCAATTTCTATGCATAATCTTATCATACTTAAGCTCTTAAGTATTTTTTGTATTTTCCTACTCTTTACTCATAGTTGTTCTATTTTGCATGCGTTTTGACTACATTCCCAGCATTTCGTGGCTATCGATTGCCGAGCGTTGCGGCCTATTTACAGACAATCGATAACAGTCTGTCCCAAGTTATCGTTATCAATAGTTAAAATAGTAACGCTTGTTATCGATATAAATTGTTAAACAAGTTTAATTGACTACTTTTTGCAATGAAATATTATCGATAACATGTTGTATATCGATTACTTGTTGCTATCTTATTTTATTTTCGTTTTTCTTGTCTTTCTTGTATCATTTCTTTGATAAATGTCATCAGCTCTGACTGTTATCGATAGCACCGTTATCGTCATCGCTCAGCTCGGCAATCGATAAACGCCTTTTTACTCGTTTTACATATCATAAATATGTATATGTATATTTTATCTGTAGTTGCAATTGGTCGCAGCTTCATGGAGCAATCTATCGATTGGCCGCTCTATACATATATATGTATATGTATACTTACATATATATATAAGTATATATGTATGTATATATCGAAAGTCCTTGAAGCTAATTCACAGCTTCGAGATTGAAATTGTCTACAAGCCATGCCAAAGCTGCGTGCCAGATACGTTTTGCACCTGTACAAAAATGACAACAACAAAAAAAAAAAAAAAAAAAGAAAAAATGAAAGAAAAATAAAAGTTAAATACTTCAATATTTACCTTCGATTTTGTAGTTACACACACACATGCACACGCACACACACACAATGGCTGAGGCTGTAAAAATAGATTGATTCTATGTACATTTATTTGCCAAGCTGTTTCCAATAATTGAATTATCCAAGCAAAAACACATTTTCAAACTCTTGCCGTGTGCGTGTGCGTGTGTGTACACAACAAATTAAATACTCCACAACACACCCACACTCACACACACACACACAGGCCCACAGACAAACACAACCTAGGGACATATTTTTCACATCTATCATCCATTTCACTCACTCTTATATATACATACATATGCATATGATAATATTTATGAATATTTTCTCAATTTATTTCGTTTACTCTTAAATAGAGCAACAAAAAAAAAAACATAGTAAAAACAAACAAACAAAAAAAAAAAAATATTTTTTTATTTTATCTTATATCGATATTAGTTCAAGTTAAATTACTCGATATTCTTCGTACATCTCTATATATATGTATATATGAATTTCTTTACATATATACACATATATATCTATATACATACAAAATAAATATATATATTTAAAATACATACTAGTTACAACTCGATGTTTTTACACTTTGTTTTCTTATAATTTCAACGAAACAAGCTGAAAGCAAAACAAGAAACAAATCAACAGTGAAACGTAAACAAAACACATTCGGAAAGCACAAAACTAACAAAATGTATTTCTCTTTTGCAAACACACCTCAATTTTTGCTCCATTGCAACTCAACTCAACTCGGATCAACTCGAATCAACTTGGATCAACTCGAATCAACTCGAATCATTTCGGATCAACTCGAATCAACTTGGATCAATTTCTATATGCAGTCGCGTCTCGGTGATGCGCGGCCAGGTGATAACGCCCCAGGGCCTAGGCATTGTGGGCATACGCGTTTCCGTGGATCGTGACTCACGCTTCGGCTTCACACTCACGCGCCAAGGCGGCTGGTAAGTAAAGCATACCATTTTTTGAAACTTTGCAATATATTTATGTGAAATCACAGTGGTGTATAGCTGGTCTATGAATATGATATGATATTGAATATGCGTGAGCTTGCAAAGCAGCACAAAATGTTGGATAGATATAGATAGATTATAGATATTTCTATGCTGAACATTAAATTTGTCGTTAAGTTTGGCTTTGAAGCTGGGTTATACGAAGTAATTCTAATGATTATTGAATATACTATATAATAACAAATTTATGAATTTCAGCTTGAGTTGATAAAGCGCAAATTATCCAGTCCCAGTATGATAGATTTTACTAAAAGATATGCAAGAGTTTCTTTGAATTTGACTTTGTATTTATATTATAATTTCTTCTAAGAAGTCGAATTTTATTTTAACATCCAATTTTATGCCTCAAATATGCCCAGCTGCAATAATCGTCTGCTGAATCTAATGTTCGGACTAAGCGTTTTCATTAATTCTTATACAAGAGGCTTGCAAACTCTCTCTCTCTCTCTCTCTCTTTCTCTCTCACTCTCTCTGTCTTGCTCTCTGCCGCTTTAATCTTTTGGCCCTCGAAATGCAAATTACTTACGTATGGGTAATTTTTCATAATTTGTCAGCCAAATGGCGTCGCGTCTTGGCCAACTTTTTGGCGTCGACGGCTCGCACTCTTGGCCAGCTTTTGATTACATTTTGTTAATAGAATTTCGTTGGGCACCGGCCAAGTGTGCAGCCAGATAAAGCAAGTTATCACTTTTTAATTAAATCTCTTGCTTTGATGTGTCCACCACCCCAGCCGGTCCCCGGTCCCCCAGTCACCCGACTGGCCATAGACTGGCATAGAAAGAGCAAAGACATCTGCGGTTTGTGTCCTTCGGCTCCTTCTAAGCAGCAGCTAAAACTTATTTAAGCGCGCTTTGTCAACTTGTGGAATACGTGACGCCAACTCAACCCAAACGACAAACAAAAAAGTCTTTATTAACAGCTGACCAAGTCACATTTTCAAACGAACTTAAAACAGCATAAAATAAATTCGAAAAATCAAAATCAAAATAAATAAACTGCAATTCGTGCTGACTAATGGGGTGGAAGTGCAGGAAAATTGCTAAAGAGGTTAGAGAAAAGGAAATCTGAAGATAAGAGATGGGATGGATGGAAGATTGGAGATGGAAGTTAGAAGATAGAAGACAGAATATACAAAATATAAGGTACAAGATACAAGATACAAGATACAAGGTACAAGATATAAGATACAAGATACAAGATACAAGATACAAGATACTAGATACAAGATACAAGATACAAGATACAAGATACAAGATACAAGATACAAGATACAAGATACAAGATACAAGATACAAGATACAAGATACAAGATACAAGATACAAGATACAAGATACAAGATACAAGATACAAGATACAAGATACAAGATACAAGATACAAGATACAAGATACAAGATACAAGATACAAGATACAAGATACAAGATACAAGATACAAGATACAAGATACAAGATACAGGATACAAGACAGATGATCGGAGATGAAAGGTAGAAGACAGACGATAGATAGAGAAGATAGTGGGATCGAAAAATAGAGAAGATAGCAAAAAGAGAAGCTAGAGACGACAGAAGATAACATATATAACGTAAATATAGAAAAATAAGATCGATATATATCGATATCCTTATAAATGACAATAAATATCGATGGCAGCTAAAGCAAGCTCATTTTGTAATACTTTAGCTTATTCAAATCAACTCTTCTTCTAAACACTTAAAAGATTAAGCTACGGAGGAGAAGAACTCATCGAAAGGTAGCTCAGTGAATTGACTCTTTGACTCATGGCCAGCTTACGCCATCGAAGGCAGCTGCTTAAATATGAAGTCTAAACGATATCCAGAGTTCACTCCAACTTGGGACTTATTGCAATTGCAATCAAAAAGAATTAATGTGAGGAAGCATTTAAAAATCATAAAGACATGGAAATATTTGCAGTTTTTGCTTATGGCATTCCAATCAGCGTGCCAGACACGAAGCCAGACAAGAATTTATCTACAATATATATATCTATATATATATAAGTATATATATCTATATGTATATAAGTTTTGTCAGCAGCATTTGAGCGTCATTCGCATTTGGCATTTGCTTGAATGAAATTTAAATCAAAGCACACACACACACACACATACACATACATACAGAGACACACCAAAAAGGGAAAATGAAAATATAAAATGAAAATAGAAATAGAAAATGGAAAATGGAAAAGCTGCGCCAGAGATGAGGCTTGGGGCTAGAGATATACAGTAAGAGATAGAGTTACACATAGAACTAGAGAGAAAGAGAAAGAGAGAGAGTGAGTGTGGGTGTGGGTGTGGGTGAGGGGGGCAGGAGAGGGACTTTCGCCAATCCAATATATCTAATATAAATATTTTTGCAGTTGTTTTTGGTAAAAAGGATTTCCGCTGTTGCCAGCACAACAAAATCAACCCAAAATATTATTGTTGTTGTGTTGTTGACATTTTCTTTTGCCTAGCATGCATGTGTGTGTGCACGTGTGTATGTGTGTGCAGTGTGTGTATGTGGGTGTCTTTGCTGGCCAATTTAAATAAACATTTCGCACCCGCTTTGCCTGACGTTGCGCTGCTGATTTTATTATGTCCAGCAACAACAAAAAAAGTTGAAATTGATGAGCATGATAGACTAACAGATGCCCTGTAAGCTAGTGCGTAAAAGACTCTAGAAGAGCTAAAGTAGTGGAGAGCGAGCGCAAGAAGAAGAAAAGCGGAGATTTGGCAGATGATGTGATTTTCTCTTCTGTTCTCTCTGCTCTTAACTAGGCGAAGTTTCATGAGAGCCCATGAAGAAAATACTTGAAAAGAGAGAATAACTTGGAGAATAACTACGTCATACACATTAAAACAAGAAGTGTGAAGAAATAAGTGAACGTTAAAGTCATGCAAGGCGAATGAAAGTGGCAATGTGAGCAGAGAGAAAACGAGATAGATGAATGAGGGAAATGTGGAATATAAAGAAAGCTACTTAAAAAATTATTGGAGCAACATAAGCTAGCTGAGAAGTAGCTAGAGAGAGTAGAAATCGCTAAGAAAAAGAAGACCTGGATAAGTCTTATCAGAGAATTTCCAATAGAAGAAAAGACAACATAGAAATAGATGAAAGTATATGAGCTTATTATAGTCAAGTTCTCGCTGAATCATTTTCCAGACATGTCACATGCATATGGCTCCCTTGAGCATACCCCCTTTCCTAACAGTTGGTCTGACTACAGGGTATGTCACACAAATAAAATCTGTGCAACAGCCAGATAGACCGAGAGCCAAACTAACTGTCTGATGATTATTTGTGTTTACTTCTACACACGCATATACAGAGAGAGAGAGAGAGAGAGAGTGGGGGAGTGGGAGAGAGACAGAGACTGTCAGCAGTTGTTGTCGCATTGCACTATGGGTCAAACGCCCGTTTTTTTGGAATTAATTAATAACTTTTGAACTAGTCAAGATAATTAAATTTGTTTTTTTGCATTTGACTTTCGTTCGCAACACGCGTTTTTGGTGAAAAAATGGGTGGGGCACCGCCTCTCTTTCATATTATTAGGTGTCATAACTTTTTTGCTTTTCAAGATATTTACACCAAATTAACATATTGGATGTGTTTTCATGTTTTAAAGATCCTGTAAAAAAATTATCAAAATCGGTTCACTATATCATATAGTTTTTATATGTAGAAGTTGACTAAACATTTTTTCAAGGAATAAACGGTTATATTTTATGATTTCAAGCACAAATAACATTAAAATAGATCTCTTTTATTGGTAATCATTGTATTCTTCATTATCTGAAGCTAGCATGCCATAAACCTCAAAATTTTAAAAGGCCTGCCTTTCGAACAGGCCTATTTCCTCTTCCTCATCTGCGACGAGGTTAGTTGCTGAAAAATGAAATTCCGCAAAAGTGCGCAAAAGTGCATGTTGAACTTATAGGTCTTAGTTCGGAATTGAATACTCTATAAAATGGGCGTAGTTTCATTGCTACAAAATGCTACAAACACAAGTTATCTCTTATCAAAGACAAACATTTTTTTTTGTAAATGATGTCAAAGACAGCTTTTTGACTTGCATAAAACTTAGCATCACATAAAGATTTTGGACAATATAAACACGTAAAAACAAAGAACAAGCCCTATTCCATACTTTCCACTAAAAATTTGAATCTAATTGCCATTATTTTTATTTCAATTGGCCATTGAAATTCATATAAAGTGTTTTACAAACTTGATAATGTGCGTGTCATGCATAACAGCTCTGTTTAACAGCAGTTTTGTTAGCAGATCGCGCCTCTGTTGAAATTCTGAGTATGTAACATTTACATATAGGGTATTCCTAATGGATTGGCATTAAAATTTTGTAAATTTTTTCAACTTGAAAATAAGACTTTTTTCCAAAAAATCGGGCTTTTGACCCATAGTGCATTGTTCGACTGGCAAAAGTGTTGCATACTTATGTGAATGGCTGTGGTGGTGTGTGCGAGCGTGCGATTACATTTTTACCTACTGTGCCATAATTTCTCATTAGCCCAGTGGCCGTTAAATGCCGCTGGCGTTGACCATTTTTCACATTTGCCTGGCCACCTACCCAGCTGCCGTCGTCGTCCCATTTTGCAATCAGCAGAGGGCAACAACAATAGCAGCAGCAGCAGCAACAACAACAACAACAACAACGTAAACAATTATAAAGCAAGCGCCCAACTGTGAAGCCAGCAGAACAAAACAAAAAAAGTTTATTACATACATATACTTGTATATAAACATATATAAACATATATACATATATACACATATAGAGAGAATACACACGGAAAATCACAAACATGCTCTGATTTCTGTTGTCCCGAGTCCCGTGTTGCGAGTCCTGTGTGCTCTGCGCTGTGTCCTTCGTTGTCAGCTTCTTAGAGCTCTGATTTGGTGGAGGACA